GTGTGTGTGTGTGTGTGTGTGTGTGTGTGTGTGTGTGTGTGTGTGTGTGTGTGTTTGTGTGTGTGTATATACATACACACATATATACAGTTGTGTGAAAAAGTGTTGGCCCCCTTCCTAGTTTTTTAATTGTTTTGCGCGTTTGTCACACTTCAATGTTTCAGATCATCAAACAAATTTAAATATTAGTCAAAGATAACACAAGTAAACACAATATGCATTTTTTAAAGGAAGGTTTTTATTACTAAGGGAAAACAAAATCCAAACCCACATGGCCCTGTATGAAAAAGTGTTTGCCCCGCCTGTTAAAACATAACTTAACTCTGGTTTATCACACCTGAGTTCAATTTCTCTAGCCACACCCAGGCCTGATTACTGCCACACCTGTTTGCAATCAAGAAATCACTTAAATAAGACTTGACTGACAAAGTAGACCAAAAGATCCTCAAAAGCTACACATCATGCCGAGATCCAAAGAAATCCAGGAACAAATGAGAAAGTAATTGAGATTTATCAGTCTGGAAAAGGTTATAAAGCCATTTCTAAAGCTTTGGGACTCCAGCGAACCACAGTGAGAGCCATTATCCACAAATGGCAAAAACATGGAACAGAGGTGAACCTTCCCAGGAGTGGGCGGCCAACCAAAATTACCCCAAGAGCGCAGCGACAACATATCCAAGAGGTCACAAAAGACCCCACAACAACATCGAAAGAACTTCAGGCCTCACTTGCCTCAGTTCAGGTCAGTGTAAATGACTCCACAATAAGAAAGAGACTGGGCAAAAATGGCCTGCATGGCAGAGTTCCAAGACGAAAACCGCTGCTGAGCAAACAGAACATAAAAGCTTGTCTGCGTTATGCCAGAAAACATCTTGATGATTTGGGAAAATACTCTGTGGACTGACGAGACAAAAGTTGAACTTTTGGAAGGTGTGTGTCCCATTACATCTGGCGTAAGAGTAACACTGCATTTCAGAAAAAGATCAGTAAAATATGGTGGTGTTAGTGTGATGGTCTGGGGCTGTTTTGCTGCTTCAGGACCTGGAAGACACTTTTGCAGCTATAACAGCTTCAACTCTTCTGGGAAGGCTGTCCACAAGGTTTAGGAGCATGGCTATGGGAATGTTTGACCATTCTTTGACCTTTGTGAGGTCAGGTACTGATGTTGGATGAGAAGGCCTGGCTCGCAGTCTCAGCTCCAATTCATCCCAAAGGTGTCCTATCAGGTTGAGGTCAGGAAGTCGAGTTCCTACCCCCTAAACTCGCTCATCCATGTCTTCATGGACCTCGTTTTGTGCACTGGTGCAAAGTCATGTTGGAACATCCCCAAACTGTACCCACAAAGTTGGGAGCATGAAATTGTCCAAAATGTCTTGGTATGCTGATGCCCTAAGAATTCCCCTCACTGGAACTAAGGGGCCAAGCCCAACCCCTGAAAAACAACCCCACCAAATAATGATCCCTCCATCAAACTTTACACTTGGCACAATGCAGTCAGGCAAGTTCTCTTGGCAACCGCAAAAACCCAGACACGTCCATCGGATTGCCAGACAGAGAAGCGTAATTCGTCACTCCAGAGAACGCGTCTCCACTCTAGATTCCAGTAGCGTCGTGCTTTACACCACTGCATCTGACGCTTTGCATTGCACTTGGTGATGTAAGGCTTGGATGCTGCTGCTCGGCCATGGACACTCATTCCATGAAGCTCTCTACGCACTGTTGTTGTTGTGCCAATCTGAAGGCCACACGAAGTTTGGAGGTCTGTAGCTATTGACTCTGCAGACAGTTGGGGACTTCTGTGCACTGTGTGCTTCAGCATGCGCTGACCCTGCTCTGTCATTTTACATGGCCTACCACTTCATGGCTGAGTTGCTTTTGTTCCCAGTTGCTTCCACTTTGTTATAATACCACTAACAGTTGACCATGGAATATTTAATAGCAAGGAAATTTAGGCAACACTCTTGAATCTAATGATTTGGAGGGGTGTCCCAACACTTTTGGCAATATAGTGTGTGTGTGTTTTATTATATACACAGACGCACACACAGCAAGTATCTTGAATAACGTGGCGACATTACACAGCTTCATAGTTCGGTTAATTTGCCAATAATATGTGTTATACTGGCCACATACCGATGTCTCACCAAGGACAATGGACAAGAAGACTTCTATTCAAACTCTAAATTATTCCCATGGCACTGTAAATTGTGATTTGGCTGACTTTCAGAAGTGGCACACACAACCCTTAAACACTTCCCTTTTCTTAGTGATAAAAATGTAGTATGAATTCTTCTGGAGGTTGAAAACACTAGCTATTCTAGATAAGTCCTACAGCACCCAATCCTCATTTCAATGTTATTGGCAAACCAAACTGCAAATTACTACTTTAGGTACACCTGATGTACACAATACAGAGAGTAGTCAAGTCATACGTAAAACCTACAGATTTCCCACTTATATAATATTTGGAGAGAGTATGTAATTTCAAGGTGGAAAACTTTGCACAACCCTAGAATAAAAGGGGGTAAACAACAAGCAGAAAACCTAACTACTAAGGAATGAGCAAACCATTCCTAAGTATCTAAATCTTGGTTCTACGTTGTTTTATATCCTTCAAAACCCACCTGTGAGTGTCTGCCTCCTAAAGGTAAGGTATGTACAGCATCAGGTTTGTGATCAGACCATAGGAACCCGTATGGGGCAGAAGGATCTCCTTTACTGCTGTCTGCATCCAGAGCTTTTCTGAAAATAAATTATGACATTCTAAAATGTACACTCTCTATGTTTTTACATTCAAGAAATACAAGGTAATAAACCATAAAGAAATAAAGCACAAACAGAATTTCTTATTTAGGCAATACAAATATAATTGTTGGTGAGCAAAGTATAAGCAATCAGATTTCAGTTCTACTCACTGAAGAACTGAATATTTTTAAAGCAGACTTTGCACTAAAATGCAAGGTCTGCTTTTTTTAAAAATTCTTTACTGACTGGTAAATTTCAACAGAATACAAAATCATTTAGGGTGTTTCAACAGAATACAAAATCATTTAGGGTGTTAAGTATATAAAGTCCACAAGTACTGTAGTGCAAACGGACAACACCGTATCATACAAAAAGTTCCAAACTTGTAGTCATAACAGTATAAACATAGTCTTTTCATTGTACACAATCGATGCTTTCATCTGAGAATCCGCAGAAAACCAAGTTGGAATATATGGAAGCCGTTTGACTAGATATGATACATGTGAACAGCTGTCTCTCGAGGTCAAAGGGAAGGGAGGTAGGATAGAAAATGAGAGAAAGAAAAAGAACGAAGGACAAAAAAGATTGGGCCCGAGCAGTGCCCGAGGGTCACATCAAGAGTCTTGTTCTCGACGGAGAACAGTGTCACCTTGCATCAAACTGCAGATATGCAGGCATAAAAGAAACTTTCCAGGGTGGATGGAGAGAGGAGGTCCCACTCGTTTCAAGTTGGAAGAGCGGATGAGGGCAGTGCGGGAGGTCCGATAGCTTAACCTTGGCCCCCAGGTGGCATTAAACTTACCTTCCGTATTTTTCTGGGAATATCTGGGCTCTGGTGGTGTTGTCCCTGGCCTCACGGGTGGGTATAAAGCCTACTTGGTTTGGATGGACGAGCTGGTGGAGGAATGGCAATAACCGGTTGGCAATAATTTCGGCAAAAAGTTTTCAGGTCGTTTAGGAGTGCAATGGGACGGTAATTGGCGCAGGAGGAGTGATCCTTGTCAGGTATTCGGGATCACTGTAATCCACGCACATACAGTATCCATTGGGGGTAATGGCAGGTACCCGTCAGGGCGTTTGAAAAAGTTTGTATTAGGGAAGATTTCAATGCCCACATCAATCCCTCGGGTTGAATCAACGTTTCCATGCTGTCCCTATCCTCTGCCGTAAGCGATGGCATCCCGGATTCCGAGATATCGCAGAATGAAAGACATGGACAACTGCCCATTAGAAGAGGAGGGTCCGGACCCCAGGTTATATAGAGATATGTAGAACACTTTAAATTCGGCCGCAATATCCGATGACACCATCGCCTTATGGCCAGAGGAGGTGACCCCATGGAAAATATAGGGCTTGCGCTGGGAACACCTGAGAACGTTAGCCAACAGCCTCCCCGGTTTGTCTGAGTACTCGTATAAAGTCCTACGGCCCCTAACCAGTCTGCTTTTGACTTTCATGAAGAAGAGATCATTCAGTTTGGTCCTTACAGCCAGTAGCTCTGCACTTGACCCTACAGCCTAGGACCTCTTGTGGACCCCCTCTAGCACACGAGGACGATGCAATAACAACATGACTCTGGAAGTCATTTCCCTTTTCTTCCATGCGGCATGTTTGATGAGTATCCCCCTCATGACCCATTTATGAGATTCCCACATCATGAATGGAGGAGCCGAGGAAGAGGCGTTGGTGGTAAAAAAAGGTAGACATTTCCGCATCCAAGTCAGCCATAACTTGAGGATCTTGCAAGAGCGCCTCAGTAAGTCTCCAAGAAGAACAGAGACACCTCGGGCTAATAGATAAAGGGTCAGGTGCAGTGGGGCATGATCGGACAGTAGAATACAGTCTATGGATGCTCCCTGTATCAGGGAAATATCCTTGTGCTGAACAAACAAATAGTCCACTAGGGAGTACATCTGGTGGGGAGCGGAGAAGTATGTATGATCCTTACCCTTAGGATGACAAAAGCGCCAGGTATCGACCAGGTGAAGAAGGTGAAGTTCTTCCTTCAACTTTCTCAAGAATAGGAAAGGTGGGAGGTCCCCTTTGAGACATCCCAGAGCGGATCCAGTGGGAAGTTGGGACACCCCCCCCAGAATCAAGACACCCTCCATAAATTCCAAGAGTTGTGGTACCAGAGCTTGTAGGAACCCCAGGTGGTTGGTATTCGGAAAGTATACATTAGCAAAGGTGACACGAGTGTCACCCACCTTCCCCTTGAGGAGTATGTACCTCCCATTATCGTCCTACAATTGACTCACAAAGGTCCAAGGGACATCCCTAGACAGCAGTACACTCACTCCTTTTGATTTGGAGAGAGGGGAGGGACAGTGGTAGGTCCACTGGTTGTCTCTATTGGTGAGTTTGGGAACCTTACCATGTTGGAAGTGGGTCTCCTGAAGGAATGCCACCTGGGAGTGTGATCGCTTAAGGTCAGACAGCAGTCTTGAGCGTCTCCCAGGGATATTAAGCCCTCGGATATTGAGAGAGGGTACAACGAGAGCCGCCATGTCCGCGACCTAATAGGTCAGGGTCCGCCCGTTTCCCTGGGTAGAGAAGGTGAAGATGGGGGTAGGGGTAGGGGAGTAGAAAAGAAAAGTCAGGGGGGACATATGCAAATAAGGGAACCAAGAGAGACAGCAAGGATTATATACCAGCAGCGAACGGGTCAGGCCTACTTGGGGGTAGTTAAGAACAATAACCTTAGTGCAGTTAGCCAAGAAATGGCCCCCTGGGCATCAGGCACCTTTAAAACATTAACCCAGTTGAGTACAGTGTCACTGGCTAATAAAGGGAAATGTAAGACAATGTGAAGGGCACTTCCACTATGGCAACATTAACATTACAGCGGTGAAACATCACTATGACTGAAGGGGCAAGGTGACGGAAAACATAAACCTTAATGAAAACTAAAAACGGTGGGGAACCCACCCATGGGGCACGTCCGACCCCGTCTCCCAGAGGGGGCGGGGCGGAAACCCAGTCAACGGACCCCCTGGGTGTGTGACCTCCCGGTGAAAAACCTGAAAAAGTAATCAAATATGCTGGAAACATGGAAGCCGGAGGCTTTATAAGCCTATACTGTCGATGACCTAAGGAGGGCCTAGTAACAAATAAAAGTGATAAATTCAATTATGAAAAACAAGAAACATAGTTACTCCACCCAAGGCGAGTGCACGTCCCGGCCCGCGTGGATGGTGGAAGCACTTCTCGGGTGTCACACATGTGCCACAGCAGCAGGTCCACCTGGATGTAGAATAAGGAAACTGCAACCAGCGGTTATGGATCATTCACGAGGCGGGGCTCAGGGTTCACTCCAGGTCGGGTCCGGACGAGAAGGCCTCCGCACGAGTCGTCTGCCCCCCCGAAAGGAATTCTGAGAAGATCGAGATGGGAGAGGCAGGAGAACCATGAGGAAAGTTCAGCCAGCTAGGAATAGCAAAGGCCTCCATCCCCAGGAAGTTGAAAAGATCGGGGAGCTGATCCGGAGCATGGAGAGCAAAGGAGGTTCCATTCCGTTGGATGAGGAGGGGAAGGGATGACCACAGCGGTAAGAAGCTCCCACAGCTCGAAGCAGATCCAGGAGCTGTTTCAGTATCCATTTCATCCGCAATGTATGACGAGAAAGATCTGGCATTACCTGGATCTGTGCACCATCAAATTTGACTGGGTCCTTGCTCTATGCCACACGGAGGATTGATTCCTTGATGGCAAAGGATCTGACAAAGAACGTCTCTGGGGGCACCAGTCAGGCTTGCGCGGTATGTTTGCACTCTGTGGACCCTGTCCAGTTGCAGTGGATCCGTGGGGGGTTTGTCCAGTTCAGGACGGCCGAAAAAGCGGAGCGTAGTTCCGCACCCGATGTTGCCTCAGGGATACTTTTCAAATGCAGGTTATTGCGGTGGCTTCTGTTTTCAGCATCATCCTGATGCAGGAATAGAGTGGTCAGTCGCTGCTGCACCTCACCATGTGCATGTTCCAGAGCAGCAAGATGTTGAGACATGTCTGTACCACTGAGGAGACCTGAGTCTCTAGGGAGGTGACCTTGCTGCTTAACTTCATGCTGCACCTCCTGTCATAGAACAGCCACGATTTTTGCCGCCATGTCGTCCAAGTCTCCCTTCGTAGGGAGGAGCGGAAGATACCTACAGTCCCCGGTCGCTGCCTCACTCGAGACCGCTGAAAAACCCGGAGGCCTCTGATGCCGGAGACGAGTCCTCACAAGGGATAACAGGTGTGCGAATACAGGGCGCCCCAACCGGAGATCAGCATCTGCTAAGGATGTCGGAGGTGCCCTCAGCCCTGCACACTTCCCCTGAGTGTTTCCAGCCAAGGCTGCACGTGTCTGCGCCATGTTGTCTGCCGAGCGGGTCTCCACAGACTACCTCAATTTACATCTATACTTTACAGGATATGCACAGAAATAAGGATTTCAAACATCAGCACACATTGGTAAGATTATTTACATTTTTCTTAAATATATACAGTGAGGAAAACAATTATTTGATCCCCTGCAGATTTTGTAAGTTTGCCCACTTACAAAGAAATTAAAGGTCTATCATTTTTATCATAGGTGTATTTTAAATGATAGAGACAGAAGATAAAACCAAAAATCCAGAGAATACACGATACAAATGTTATAAATTGAGTTGCAGTTCAGTGAGTAAAATAAGTATTTGATTCCCTACCAACCAACAATAATTCTGGCTCCCACAGACTGGCTATGTGGTACACAGATTAGTCAATTTAAGAAGGTGCTCCTAACGACAACTCGTTATGTATATAAAAGACATCTGTTCACAGAATCGCTTTCTTCCATTCAAATCTCACCACCATGGGCAAGACCAAACAACTGTCAAAGGACGTTAGGGACAAGATTGTAGACCTGCATAAGGCTGGAATGGTCTAGAAGACAATCAGCAAGAAGCTTGGTAAGAAGGACACAGTTGCAACGATTATTCGCAAATGGAAGGAATACAAAATAACCATCAATCGTCCTCGTTTTGGAGCTCCATGTAAGGTTTTGCTTCATGGGGTAAGGATGATCATGACAAAAGTGAGGGATCAGCCCAGAACTACACGGGGGAGCTTATGAATGATCTCAAGGCAGTTGGGACCACAGTCACCAAACAAACCATTGGTAACACAATACACCGCCATGGATTGAGATCCTGCAGCGCCCGCAAGGTCCCCCTCCTCAAGAAGGCACATGTAAAGGCCCGTCTGAAGTTTGCCAATGAACATTTAAATGATTCAGAGAAGGATTGGGAGAAAGTGCTGCGGTCAGATGAGACCAAAATTGAGCTCTTTGGCATTAACTCAAATCACCGTGTTTGGAAGAAGAAAAATGCTGACTATGACCCTAAGAACACCATCCCTACAGTCAAGCACGGAGGGGGAAACATTATGCTGTGGGGCTGTTCCTCTGCTAAAGGTACAGGCTCACTTTGCCACATTGAGGGGCCAATGGACGGGGCCATGTATTGTAAAATCTTGGATGAGAACCTCATTCCCTCAGCCAGAACACTGAAGATGGGTCGTGGATGGGTCTTTCAGCATGACAATGACCCAAAACATACTGTCAAGGCAACAAAGCAGTGGCTCAAGAAGCACAATAAGGTCATGGAGTGGCCTAGCTAGTCTCCAGACCTTAATCTTATAGAAAATGTATGGAGGGAGCTGAAACTTCGAGTTGCCAGGTGACAGCCAAGAAACCTTAAGGATTTAGAGAAGATCTGTAAGGAAGAGTGGACCAAAATCCCTCCTGAGATATGTGCAAACCTGGTAAACTACAAGAAACGTATTACCTCTGTGCTTGCCAACAAGGGTTTCTCCACAAAGTACTAAGTCATGTTTTGCTTGAGCATCAAATACTGATTTTACCCACGTAATGCAACCCAATTTAAAACATTTGTATCGTGTTTTTTCTAGAATTTTTGGTTGATATTCTGTCTCTATCATTTAAAATACACCTGATAAAAATTATAGACCTCGCATTTCTTTGTAAGTGGGCAAGCTTACACAATCTGCAGGGGATCAAATAATTATTTTCCTCACTGTATATATATATAACAAAATTTTCTCTTTATTATTATAGGCGAGAAATAACTGTTTACAATGTTTTATGAAATGGACAGAGCATTGAATTTACTATTCACCTACAGTATATGACAGTCAGGTACAAGGACATGTCAGTAATTCTGTCTTAGATATACAATGTTTTCTTCAGAAGACTGTCAGGATTTCAGCTTTGTGAGAAAGACATTACTCACAGCAAGTGAGAAAGACACTACATATGCACCAGGCCGGGTAAATTCAATATGTAGTCCACTTTCTGACATTTTCCATGTGGCATTTCCTTCTCTTAAAAAGCAGAACCTCAATCAAGACAAAATAGTAAACAAATATAATATCAGATTATGTCCATCTGGTCTCTATTATGGGAGATCCAGAAGACCTTGCTCTGACCTTCATATCTTCAGCACCCCCAGTTTTTGGCTGCTCTACTGAATGTTGAATGAGTTGAGTTTTAGTGGAACTGCTTTTTACCCACAGAGTACCATGGTCCACAATATACAGGAAATCCCTGGACTTTCCAAATACAGTAACCTGAAAGCTGGTGTGGATCATTAGCTTTTCTGTTGAACACTGCATCCAAACAGGTAACAGATAAGCAACGTTTCTTCTGCTGTATGAAATTATGTATTTTGTTTTGCCTGCAGCTCTCTTTTAATAAAGTAAGAGTAGCCAGTGCAGAATAGCAATACCACGTCAGCATGGCAATTCCTTACCTGTCTAATGTGCCATAATTCGGTTGTGCTTGTCCCATGGCACGATGCTGAGGAGCAGGGCTCTGTCTTGCAGAATTCGAACCAGATGGAGGGCCTCTGTGTTCTAATGAAAGATGACAATACTGGTGTTAGTATATATATTTGCACTGACAATTCTAAAAGAAATCTGTCACTAAGATAGGAGCACTTGAAGATTTACACAGTAACATGTTTCTGCCGAGTCTACCAAAGTTTGTATTTATTTTACACTGTATTGATAATCTCACTCGGGGTGAAGCATTTTTCAAACAGCTGTGCTCTGTATTGCTCTTTGGACAATGCAGAACATTATTTAACATCCCTGTGCCCAGAGTGGAAAGTAAAAGTGTCCATAACTGTCAATTATCCACTACTGATAGATAAACGATCGGGAAATTAAAATTAAGTGGTGCCTGCACTATGATACAATGATTCTGCTTGATGTGTTAAGACTTATGGAAAATATGTTAAAAAGGTCAGCCCACCCACAACTGGTATTTTAGTATTTGGCCGTTGTTGAGGAGTTAAACAACATGGTGATTTATTATATCTTTCAGGACTTTATTGAGGAGATATCTGTGCTTGAATTCTTAGGCCTGCACAGCTGGTGCGTAGAATGTTAAGAGGAGGGACAGATTCTGAATAAGATTCCGAATTATAGCAGAGATCGCACTGCTGAAGTGAGATTCAAGGTGCCCATACACCTTACGATTATCGTTCAAAAAACTAACGCGATTGGGTTTTAGTACAATAATCGACCAGGCTGAAAAACTTTTTTGAACCGAACAAAACTTGATGGATTAGTGGCGTTTTCGTCCGAAAAAAATTGCAACAAATACACTGCACATGCACAAACGAAAATCTGTTCTGTTGTTTGACAAAATTAGTTGAGTTATTATTGCTAATGAGCGGTAATTGAAATCGACATTGGTCTTTGCATGAACTACTATTTCAGCTAAAGTCGAAAGAGGGTTCTTGGCAGCAACAAAGATTTCTGATCGAAAATTGTAAAGTGTATGGCCAGCTTTATAAGAAGCAATTGGCTGATTCAGCCTACCAGGCTATAGCTAACGTGTCAGTTGTGTGTGTACTGTGTCTTTAAGGCTCCTTCAGAGATCTGCATCCATTAGGGTATGCTGTTGCACATACTTAAACATAGGTTGGGTTAAGGAAATCCATTCATTTGGCATAGCTGGCCAACACACTTCAAACCCCCTCCCCCAAAAAACCCCAAAATAACATACATGACTCTTTTTGTATAATACAGTGTACCACCCATCACTGCAGTTAAGGGTTAGGGTGCTAGTCTAAATGAATGGCTCTGCAATGCACAAAATATTGCTAAATTTCACTTACTCTCTTCAGTGCTGTCCCCAACTTCCTCCTTGGTCCAGCACTGGTGCTCCTTTTCTGGCAGAATGAAACTCGTGGCATTCTGTCTATATCTGTTAGCCCAGACTATTGTTTACATATTCCCAGCTACAGCTCACGGTATACTGAGACTGCCGCCGCCGGGACGGATCCCGACATTACTGTCGAGATCCACCCAGCTGCGTGATTGACAGCTGTCTCTGCCTATCTAGAGGCAGAGCCAACTGTACAGGCCCCCGTCCTCCCCTGGAGGATAGGACGGGGAATCCCTGCAGGCACTGGCGGAACTACCAGGGTCGCAATTGTGAGGAAGAAGAGCCTTCCCCCACCCCCCCCGAGATAGTGCCGCTCCTTCCCTGCCACACAGCCAGCCGCAGAATGCACGGGCGGCTGTGCGGCAGGGCAGGAGAGGCTCTCACTCCCGCAGAATGTGCTGCACATTCTGATGTGTAAGGACCCTCTCATCCTAGCCCCGCCCCCTGGCCGCCGAGACGAGGGCCCTGCAGAAGAGGGAAGGTGAAGGGGGGTGGGGTGCTGGTAATATTCTGCTGACTTTTATTATAATGTATTGCTGGGACTTGTAGTAGCGCATGGCTGGTGGTATTCTGCATTGCTGTATGATGATTATACAGCAATGCAGAATAGCTCCAACTATGTAGAACTACAAGTCCCAGCAATGCATTATAGTGGGGGGATGCTGGTTATATTCTGTATAGCTGACTTTTATTATAATTTTTTGTATTCTGTATAGCAGACTTTTATTACTATGTATTGCTGGGACTTATAGTCCCACATGGCTGGTGGTATTCTGCATTGCTGTATCATAATTATACAGCAATGCAGAATAGCTCCAACTATGTAGGACTACAAGTCCCAGCAATGCATTATATTTTTAAGTAGGAATACACCACTGCCAATACTGGGCATTTTCACAAGTACTCATACTCGTGAAAATGACCCGATACTAAACGCAGATACCGGTGTTCTGTCGAGAACGCCGACATAGTCGAATTTGCCGACCTCAGCATCTACGCTTGCGCACAGCCTAGTATTATTGAGGAAACCGGAATTTATTCACAAAGTATTTTGTTTAAATTGTTAATTGTTAGGGTTGCACAGATACCAAGTACAGTACTCGGTACAAGTACGAGTACCGATACTTTTGAGCTCCAAGACTACACTAGAGAAAAATTAAAAAATTAGGAGGCAGCTGTCATTTGTAAGGAGATTTGTATAATGTATTATTGCTGGGATTTGTAGTTCCTCTATAACTGGTCAGTGGTAATCTGCATTGTGCTGGGGGACGGGAAAATGCACCCTTCGCCTGAGTTGGCAAAAATCCTTGCACCGGCCCTGTTGTCATGTGACAGTTTTTCTAAAACAATACAGACTAATGATTTCAGGACAGTGGTGGAGCACCAGAGCCAGGTCCCAGCTGCAACCGCTGCAACCCTGGTAGTTCTCATGAAAATGCCAAGTACTGGTACTCGAAAAGTATCTGTGCATCCCTATTAATTGTGACTGTTAATAATATTCCATAATTTACTGCCATGCATAGTATATTATTGACGGTCACTATTAACAGTTACAAACAAATAATTTGTAAATGCCTGTTTACTCGTTAATCCCGTCTGTACGCAAGCGCAGATACTGGGTCGGCGTTCTTGACAGAACACCGGCACTAAATTTTTAAACAAGCGGCTGCCTGATTTTCCGCACTTGCTGTGGTCCTCGGCAGCCTTCCTGTTAACCAAGCGGTGCCATGGTGGTTGGGGGGTGGGGTGCCCTTCATGGTTCCTCGCATCGGGGCCCTGAAGGATCTAGTTACGCCTCTGCCTGCAGGGAGCAGTGAGTGACAGTCACAGCTCTCTGCAGGGACATGATTGAGAAGTAAGCGAACGACTGTATGTGTTCGCTCACTTCCCGATCAGTTTCATTGTCACACGTCGGCTCAAACTATGAGGTTGAGTGAAAATCACTCACCTCAAAGTTCTCCTTTAATAACACACCTAAGCAACTTACAACCAAGTTTTTCCCCTGTGCAAACAGATACACAATTTAGCGAGCTAGGATCTCATCTGAAGCTCACTGCAGATCATCGATCCCTCCCATTATCCTCTCTGAAGCCAGCCTAATAACACCTCAGCAACTTACAACCAAGGTGATTGGAATATTTTCTTACGAGCATCTAGTTCATTATACTGTAAACTTACAAACTTTACTTCTGCAGCCCAACTATCTGTAATCATAATTATTATTATACAGGATTTCTATAGCGCCAACAGTTTGTGCAGCGCTTTACAATATAAGGAAGACATTACAATACAAGACAAGATGGTAAGGAGGGCTCTGCCCGTGAGGGCTTACAATCTAAAGGGAGGGGGAAGTGATACATGAGGAGGTAGCTGTGTGGGGATGAATTGTTTGAGAAAGTGATAGTTCAGTGGTTAGGTTGAGGTGGGATAGGCTTTCCTGAAGAGATGTGTCTTAAGGGATTGCCTAAAGGCAGTCAGAGTGGCATAGTCCAAAGGTGCCCATACGCTGTACGATTCTCGTCCGAGAATCGCGGGAAATCGTACAATAATCGTGCAGTGTATAGAAGGCATGCAACCGTTTCTACTGTACGGTCACGCAACTTTTGTATTTCGAGCATGTTGGAAAACCAGCCGAGAATCCTACGATCCTACGGAGTAGTGGTGAGGGAACAGATTCCAGGGGGCAAATGGTGAGGTGGGTGTCAGAGAGAGGCTTTGCAACCTCCTCTGTGGTGACATTGTATTATTTGTCATTGTATTATTTGTATGCACTATTCTAGTTATTATTTAAGTCTGCTTATCCGTGATGTTTTAAGCTAGTGATAGCCAATTTAGATGCCTGCTTCATGTATGTCAAACCTTAAATTCTGTTCCAGTTTATTACCCTCTACCCCAGGGGTCTCAAACTCATTTGACTCGGGGGCCACGCGACAATTTTTTTTTCTCCCATGGGGGCCGGCTTGCCAAATTTCATACATCAAAGTAAAATGCAATTATATCCGGTATGGTACTACAGACTCCAATACACACACAATAAGGCCCTATTCATAGCTTTAAGTTTAGGCGCAATTAGGGATTCCTGCGTCAATACTTGTGTTTTTCTGCAGGCGTTTACATGCAGCTGCTGTCGTCTGATCAATAACTTGAATAGATGACAGCTGCCACTTGTAAACACCAGATTAGGCAATTCCTAATACACTCCCCCCACACACATAAAAAAAACTACCCCTGTCAAAATACACCCCACACATATAAAATAATAAAATCCCCCTCCCCCCGCACATCCACATATAAAATAAAGTACAGAACCCCCTCTCCTGCTTACCTTTTTGCAGGGATACAATGTGTGAATGTAGCCTAATACACTCCCCCCATACAGATGGCCTTCACCTCCCTCTCTATCCCTCTCCTCTTTTGAAACCCACTGTATGCGCCTATTCTCTCCAATTTTGCAGAGGATTGCTGTTATATATCGGCCGCCTGGACCGGTATCTCGCTTTCTGGGTGACTTCTCTGCCTTGCTACCCTACTTTCTCTCCTCAGAAATACCCACTGTCATTCTTAGTGACTTTGACATTGCTAATAACATTAACACCCCAGCTTCCACTCAATTTAGTAACCTAACCTCTTCTTTTGATCTAACACAATAGTCAGACACTCCTACTCACTCTGATTGTAA